TATCAATCCATTTTAACTACAATTATTATTAATAAATTTTGCTTAATTGCTTTGCAAACCCCACTTGTAATCAACAGATTTACAATAATAAAAAATCATTTTTTGATGAAGAAACTTTTGCCTTTGTAAAAGGAATTCTGTGTTGATTAGCCTTGTATGCTTTTTTTTTCCAAGTGACTTCTATTACACATGTATTGTAGATTATATTTTTATCAGAGAATTCGGAGGTAATATTTAGTAGCCTAACTCCAGTGGGTATTGATATTTTGGATTATAAATTATTTTTTTAAAAACAAATTGTTTTTTTTTAAATGTGATAAACATGTTTTAAATGTCTTTTTCAATAAATTTCAGTCCATTAATATACCATGTTTTTCAGGGGCATTGATTCAATCTATTATTACATTAATTACATAGAAAACCCCCCTTTAAAAAAAAAACTCTTATATATTTGTATGATCTTGGGAAATCTTGGGAAATTTGTTCACCACATCTTGGGAAATTTGAAAAAAGTGAGTGGCAGCCCTGGCATGTATGCTAACTTCGTCTATTGATTTTTTGGTCGAGTGCTCACATACGCAGTCTCACATCAAGTTTCAAATGAAACTGTAAAATGAGCTTTCAGTTTTTTTGGCAGTTCGTCAGCTGGGCCCGTTAGTGACCTCATGCTACTGTCAATTTTAAGTAAAAGTATCTACAGGGAGATTCGTCAATGAAATTCCTATACCGTAAATATATCGTTTTAAAAAATAAATAAATTTCGAAGTCAATGTTGACGCTAAAGATGAGAACTACGGTAAACCACTATTGCATAAATATCTGTTGTTTTTTTAAAAAAACTTTCGGTACATGATCATGTCGGTTACATACCATCGCTTACATTGTAAATGGATTGGGGGAAAAAATACAGTAGTCACTTCACTAAAAAGCCATCATTACATTAGTGCTTCATTGACAAAATATTTCACACTAGTCCTTCATAGCCAAAACATCATTGCATTAGTCTAGTAAATTAGTAATTCAAAGACTAAATATTTTAAACTAGTACTTCTTAAACAAAACATTTTACATTAATACTTCATTGACAAACTATTTGAAACTAGTAATTCAAAGACAAAAAAAAACCAAACATTTACATTAGTACTTCATAGACAAAAAAAAAATCATTACATTAGTGCTTCACTGACAAAATATTTTAGACTATAACGTCATAGACAAAATATTTTACGTTAGTACTTCATAGACAAAACATCTCTACATTTGTACTTCATAGACAAAACATCTCTACAGTTGTACTTCATAGACAAAACATCTCTACATTTGTACTTCATAGACAAAACATCTCTACAGTTGTACTTCATAGACAAAACATCACGAGTATTTCATCGACAAACCATCATCATGAGAGGGCTATTCCAACACCGTCGTGCCCCAAGAGTACACTCTTGACATCAAAGAACTGGAACGTACCGCTGTTTTGGACGCCTTGTACAAAGCCCTGACGATAAAGCCGTTCATGGCGGCCAGCACAACAACGGGTACAAGAGCGTACACGGCAACGTTGACCCACTCGAGGACGGCCACGGCGTCCGCCATCTTGGGTCGGCTGCCGCAAAGCCACCTGCCCGTGCCGTCCTCGAGAGTTTGGTAGGTGACAAAATAGTGACCGTTGAACACCAGAAGGGACATGACGACGACAGCGTCGATGACCCAGTAGAGTCTGCAGATGTAGTAAAGGGTTTTAAGGTGATAAAGCGTGTTGGGTACAGAAACATGGTTTACTCTATAGATTGAGCTATCTCTCTCGGGTTCTGCACAGATTCTGACTGTAGACAGAAACATGGTTTACTCTATAGATTGAGCTATCTCTCCCGGATTCTACGCAGATTCTGACTGTATACAGAAACATGGATTACTCGATAGATTGAGCTATCTCTCCCGGATTCTACGCAGATTCTGACTGTATACAGACACATCGCTTATCTGATCTGTTAGAATTTTATACAGGGCATTGTGAATATGCATGCATGTATGTATGTAAGCATGTATTTGACGTTAATTGAAGACTTGATGACAGATTTAGTGCCGAATTAACCTAAAGGCAAACGAGGCATGTGCCTAGAGGCCCCGCACCTCTTGTGGGCCCCGTGAATAAGAATACTTACTGTAACTAGTTTACCTAAGTCTAAACATCTTGCGAATGGGTGGCCCGCAGACGTATCAGACGTCCCCAAATAAATTGTTTCCATGTACGATCGTGTCAGGTGCGTTGGTACGGAGAAAGGCGATTGCTTATTGCAGGCTATCGTCGGTTTTTTTCTCCTTAAAAATCTCGTTGGCTCCGATCACATACTCTTTGGCCCATATCTCATACTGTTTGGCTCCTATCATATACTGCTTAGGCTCCTATTATATAATCTCTGGCTCCTATCATAAACTGTTTGGCTCCTATCATATGCTGTTTGCCTCCTAGCATATGCTGTTTGCCTCCTTGTTTGGCTTCTATCATATACTGTTTGTCTCCTATCATATGCTGTTTGCCTCCTATCATATGCTGTTTGCCTCCTTGTTTGGCTCCTATCATATACTGTTTGTCTCCTATCATATACTGTTTGTCTCCTATCATATACTGTTTGGCTCCTAATTATATAATCTCTGGCTTCAATCACATACTCTTTGGATTTCATCACATTCTCTTTGTCTCCTATCACATATACTCTTTGGCGCCTTTCACGTAATCTTTGGCTCCAATCACATACTCTTTAGCTTCCATCACATACTCCTTGGCTCTATCACATACCATTTGGCTCCTATCACATGCTCTGTTCTCAAATCAAAGCAACATCCTCAAATCACCCAGATGATCTGATTTAGCTAATCCGAATGTACGCAGTTCGCTCTGCACGCTACATTCATCTTTCCTGTTCACATTGTCTTGAAATGAATTCGTTCACACACCTGCGTAAGAAACACAGCCATGATTTTAGCAAGGATGATCGCCTTCTCTTGGAATATCAAATTATTAGTATTAGTTTTTGTTTAAAATCGGGAAATATTTCTGATTATCGACCGTAATATCATAGAGATCTGCGCCCTGAAGCCCTTGTGTCTTCACAAATCCTTTAACAATCCGTCTTCCAACCCCCCCCCCCCCGGGGGGCTCTTTTTTTTCTTTATACTGAGGGGCGCCAATGTCAAACACAGTTTTTTCCTCAGAACGACCATCTACTTCAGGCCTGCACAACATACGGCCCGCGAGCACCCACTTTGTGGCCCGCGAAGTAACGAAATAATCTTTATTCTTTTTATTTTCTTAATATCTTTCCCCCTGACCTATTTTCTCTTGGCCCGCACCAGTCCTGTCTTATTTTCTCTTGGCCCGCACACGTTTTTCATAAAGTACTTCGGCCCGCCTTACATTTTGAGTTGTGCAGTCCTGATCCACTTCATTGGTTCTCAGCCTTCCTAATGCCGCGACCCTTTAATACAGTGCCTCATGTTTTGCTGACCCCCCCCCCACCAAACCATAAAATTATTTCTTCTTCTTCTTCTATATCTTAAGATTTTCGTTGCTACTTCATAAATATGTGTTTTCCGATGATCTTAGGCAACCCCTGTGTAAGGGTCGTTCGCCCCCCCCCCCCGAAAAAAAAAGTGTCTTGACCCACAGGTTGGGAACCGCTGATATAAATAATGAAATATGTAAACTCTAAACATGACGTCTGGGGTGGCTTTAACGGCCTTCCCCCCTTTTTCGCCACTGTACAGAACCTGCCTGATGTCACAATACTGGAATCGGAGTATTATAAATGAATAGAGTGAACCAGAGGCGTAGCGAAGGGGGTGCAGGGGGGGACAGATGTCCCTGGGCGCCAGGTAGTTAGGGGCGCCAAAATGCGCTTTGATATTATTTTATTGATGAAATTAATGGGTTTGAGAGTTAAAAAGAAGAAAAAGGGGCGCTATAAAATGGATCTTGTCCCCGGGCGCGAATCTTGTCCCTGGGCGCCAAACACCCTCGCTACGCTGCAGGAGTGAACCGACGGCCGGGTGATGTTGAGGCGGCCTGTCACCCTGAAACCCGAAGGCAGGGCCCATAAAACCAAGCGGCACACTATCGGGTGGCGTGTTCGTGCTTATGTAACGTCCTAAGGGCGCTAGGAAAACTATTGGTGCTACTGGACACCGAAATACCGCGGACACCGCAGCTCCCTCTATGAAACGGTCGATTGAATTTAGACTTTTTGATTACTTCGCGATTCACACATTGGTTCTATATAACGCGGCCGGCAGTCTGTTTTGTTCACCATCAGGATCTCATGTGATGCTCTGAGGGTAAGGATTTTTAGTAAAAAAAAATGTCTCTCTCTTTGTAAAAATGTTTTTGTCCGCGTCACAATATCTTTTGTTTGAGGCTAAATTAACTGTAAATGTAGGATATTACTTTTTTTTTTTTTAAATGAGTAAACATTGAAAAAAAAATATTTGAATATTCCAAGTTAACTTAATCTTTTTTGTTGAAAGAAAAACGGTCATGAGAAACAAATCTTGACTGTTCAACTTGCTGCTGACTCCGTCAAAGTATAAATTCCCACTCAGATATTTAAAAGTTACTACTGTAAGAATTCATATTTATGTCCACGAATAAATAGAGTTTTAAAAAAATGATAAAATTGGTGCTTATTCTCCACCCCCCCCCCCCACCAAACCATAAAATTATTTCTTCTTCTTCTTCTATATCTTAAGATTTTCGTTGCTACTTCATAAATATGTGTTTTCCGATGATCTTAGGCAACCCCTGTGTAAGGGTCGTTCGCCCCCCCCCCCCAAAAAAAAAGTGTCTTGACCCACAGGTTGGGGACCGCTGCGATAAATAATGAAATTCCGCGAGGCGCAGGAGGCAGGCGAGGAAGCGTGGATGGACGATGGTGGCGAAGTTTCCCTGGCCTACGGTGAAGGGATTGAAGCCATCGCCGCTCAGGCGCTTGAAGGGCCAGTGAGACGTCACTTATCGTTCACCTGCTGCTCGCGGCTGCCCTCGTCGCCGCCGCCGCCGCCTCGTGGTGTCAGAGGGCCAACTGGTGGCGTAGCTTCGATCGCGCCGGCCTGTCCCGGTGTCCCGGTGACCGGATGTACGTCACGGGGTTCTATCGCAACGCCCGCAAGTCGTGGAGTCACGACCCCATACAGCTGCTGGAGGAGGCGGAATGCTGCAGTCCGCCCGCGCCCTGGGTCAACTCCAAGACGCAGACGCACACGGCCAACTGGTGGCTCAGGTTCGACTGGGGCAACACGTGGGTCGACTGCCCTCCGGGCTACTTCGTGCAGGGGCTCTTCAGATCGGAGTACACACCGGGGAAACTGCACAACATCGAGGAAGCCAGATGCTCGAAGCCGGCCGACCATCCCAACTACTACGGCCATTGTTACAACGCTGACGTTTTGCTCCCATTCGACAACAAAGGACTCAGCAAGTGCCAGTCGGGATACTACGTCACAGGGCTGTACCGCAGCAGTTGCGACGAGCTGTATTGCATCGAGAGTTTGCGCTGTTGCAGCATGGCGTCACGGAGGGAAGTTCTTGACGACCTCGCCAAGGCGAAGACGCGCGTCATGGACACAACGATGGCCGACATCGCGCGCCTGGGGTATTACCTCGGCTACGGCTGCAAGGTTCAGTTTATTGGCGAGGATTTTTCCAGGCACGGGGACACGTGGAGCCAAATTGTGGACGAGAATGCGCCCTGTGACAACCGTGGAAGCAACTGGGCGCCGAGTGTTAAATACGGACGTTACGGCTACGCCATCTTGCACGCCAAGTTCGGCTCTGGGTATAGAGCCTATACTTCCAGCCCCCCGTTGAGCATAAACTATGCCCACTGGGGATTTAGACTGAAGGGCATCAAGTACGAGACCCCAGCGGTTACACAACTTCCCCCCGAGGTCATAGAATCGGGAACGGTTTATAACAATTTCAACAAAGCCTTCACGAAGAGACTGTCGCGGTGCGTCACCAGCACGAGGAGCGTGACCCATGTCCAGCTCAATCCTTGGAAAAACTACCGCGAGCTAAACCTGCAGATCCCCTACAGGCCGACCCCCGATTTGCCGTCGTACGGGTTCAACTACGTCACCTCCAGCAGTACAACTGACCGATCCCAGAACACGCAGGACCACACATTCACGAAGACATTCTACAAAACCATCGCCCCCCATTCGGCAGCGAGGTGGAACCTCCTTCTGTCCAAGACCCGACGGAGCGTCGCCTACACGGCCACGATCGAAATAAGGTTCTCGGCGGAGCTCCAAGGGTTCTTACGATGGGGCGAGGGAAGCCGTCTTACGAATTACCACAGTCAGTACCACGGCAGTAGATCGCGACCAATATGCAACTATCGCTTCGGAAATCAAAACACCGGCTTCCGCCAAGCCCTCAGGAGTCAGAGCAGTGTGGACGCGCCGCCTTGGCTGTGGAACGATCTGCGACACGCGTACAAGTCGGCGCAGGGCCTGATCAACGACCTCACCGACGGTCGTCGGTACGTGTTTAAGCTCTCGGGCCGATTCGATGATGTCATCGGAACGAAGGTCGACGTCGCCTGGCACAACGTGCCGCGGTGGAAAAGGTCAGAGCAGAGCCTAGAGGAAAGGGATGCCGGGGATGATGAGGCTGTTAAAAATATCTATCACGTAGCAAGAGATTTATCCTTCGACCTGGGGGCTGCCATGCAAAATTTGCAAAATCAAGACAGATCTTTGGACAGTCCAGAGTTGCAAATACAAGACAGATCTTTGGGCAGTCAGGAGTTGCAAATCCAAGACAGATCCTTGGACAGTCAAGAGTTGCAAAATCAAGACAGATCTTTGAACAGTCAAGATTTGCAAAATCAAGACAGATCTTTGGACAGTCAAGATTTGCAAAATCAAGACAGATCTTTGAACAGTCAAGATTTGCAAAATCAAGACAGATCTTTGGACAGTCAAGATTTGCAAAATCAAGAAAGATCTTTGAACAGTCAAGATTTGCAAAATCAAGACAGATCTTTGAACAGTCAAGATTTGCAAAATCAAGAAAGATCTTTGGACAGTCAAGATTTGCAAAATCAAGACAGATCTTTGGACAGTCAGGACTTGCAAAATCAAGACAGGTCATTGGATAGCCAGGAGTCTCAAAACCAAGACAGGTCCTTGGATAGTCAGGAGTCTCAAAACCAAGACCGGTCCTTGGATAGTCAGGAGTCTCAAAACCAAGACCGGTCCTTGGATAGTCAGGAGTCTCAAAACCAAGACCGGTCCTTGGATAGTCAGGAGTCTCAAAACCAAGACAGGTCCTTGGATATTCAGGAGTCTCAAAACCAAGACAGGTCCTTGGATAGTCAGGAATCTCAAAACCAAGACCGGTCCTTGGATAGTCAGGAGTCTCAAAACCAAGACAGGTCCTTGGATAGTCAGGAGTCTCAAAACCAAGACAGGTCCTTGGATAGTCAGGAGTCTCAAAACCAAGACCGGTCCTTGGATAGTCAGGAGTCTCAAAACCAAGACAGGTCCTTGGATAGTCAGGAGTCTCAAAACCAAGACAGGTCCTTGGATAGTGAGGAGTCTCAAAACCAAGATAGGTCCTTGGATAGTGAGGAGTCTCAAAACAAAGACAGGTCCTTGGATAGTCAGGAGTCTCAAAACCAAGACAGGTCCTTGGATAGTCAGGAGTCTCAAAACCAAGACAGGTCCTTGGATAGTCAGGAGTCTCAAAACCAAGACAGGTCCTTGGATAGTCAGGAGTCTCAAAACCAAGACAGGTCCTTGGATAGTCAGGAGTCTCAAAACCAAGACCGATCTTTGGACAGCAGCTTAAGTGAAAATGACCTTAGGGCTGTCGTAGGCGATCCACTGAACGTGAGACAAGTTAATTAACGACGCGCTGGAATGGAGTAGTGCCTTCTCCTTAAAAGCAGAGTGGCATGAGAACTTACCTCAACTAATCCATTTACGAGACTCACAAATTTGACGTATTTCTTAAATCCCAGGTATCTACATTGAACTTTACAACTAAAAATATAAGAGAAATTAAATGATATAACAGCAAATAAATCCACTAATTTGTTTCGTTATATTTTTTTAAACGACTCGCTAACCTATATGTTACACATGAGATGTGTCATTGGATGTGTCGTGTATTGAAGGGAACAGCTGGATGTGTATACGCAAAGCTCAAACTATAACTAGCAACACTTGTTTGTTGTTGATGTTGTTGTTGTCGTCGTTTTGGTTTAGTTGTTCTGTCAGACTGCAGGTTGGGAGTGAATGAAATAGAAACGTTGCCCACGATGAACAGCCGTGAATGAACATGGTGAACTAAACCCTAAAAGCCTAGTCTTTGAGACGGACGAATGGCTTACTAGCTACTATTGGCTAAGTTTATGAGGAGGGAGGGGGATAGGGCAGGGTGGAGCATTTGCGCACACCCTCCCCCCCCCTGTATTTGCAGGTTTTATTTAAATGTCTATGTACTGTGGCGCTACCAGTAATAAACAACTGAACAAGCCGACAAATTTTTGGTTTTTGCCACCCCCCCTCCTTTTTGCAAAAAACCTGAAATGACCCCGGGGCTGGGGGGGGGCGGGGGTATGTTTGCTGTTCATTTGGGGCCTTCTTTTTTATGTAGAGATTTGTGTGTGTGTGTGTATCTCATGAATGTAATTTTGCAGCTTTAAGTAGCTTAAATGATTCATTAAGTATGTTAAATATAACTTTATCTTAGCCTATGAAATAATTTTATAGCATATGCTGNAAAAAAAGAGAACAAAACCAAAAAACAGGAAAAAAAAGACCAAAAAAAACAACAAAAGAAACAAGAAAAAAATGACAAAAAAAAAACAAAAGTGACAGGAAAAAAGTGACAAAAAAAACAACAACAAAAGTGACAGGAAAAAAGTGACCAAAAAAAACCCAACAAAAGTGACAGGAAAAAAGTGACCAAAAAACCAAAACAAAACAGACAGGAAAAAAAGTGACCAAAAAAAAACAAAAGTGACCAAAAAAAAGTGACAAGGAAAAAAAGTGACCAAAACCAAATGACAGGAAAAAAGTGACCAAAAAAAACAAACAAAAGTAACAGGAAAAAAATGACAAAAAAAACAAAAGTGACAGGAAAAAAGTGACAAAAAAAAAAACAACAAAAGTGACGGTGATATAAAAAGATGATGAATATGCCAGCATAATGACTGATAACATAATGACTGATACCATGACTGCTAAAATAATGACTCCCAACAGTCATGATTATGATATAATTGTCCACCGACCAGCCGTGATTATGATATAATTGTCCAACACCCACTTGTGATTATGAATTGTCCGCCGATCACCCGGGATAGGACCGCCCGATCACCCGGGATAGGACCGCCCGATCACCCGGGATAGGACCGCCCGGGGAACACATGTGATCAACCAAACCTCTGTGATCATAATGTCCTGATCCCCCCCCCCAAGCGTTTCTCCTGTAGCTTGTTTGAGAAAAAACCGAAATGGCCCCGGGGGGGGGGGGGGGGGGCGGGGGTATGTTTGCTGTTCATTTGGGGCCTTCTTTTTTATGTAGAGATTTGTGTGTGTGTGTGTATCTCATGAATGTAATTTTGCAGCTTTAAGTAGCTTAAATGATTCATTAAGTATGTTAAATATAACTTTATCTTAGCCTATGAAATAATTTTATAGCATATGCTGTACAAATCATTAAAACATTTCAATATTATGTCCAAGCAGTGGCGTAGAAAAGGGGGTGGGCTGAGAGGGGGCGGTGTGCCCCGTTTGGCATCTATTTTCTTATTATGGAAGAGCGGTATTTTTTGGCTAAATGCGGAGTTGTTTTGTTTTTTTTGTCGAAGGGGGCGTCAGAAATCTTTCCCACCCCGGGCAGCCCTTACCCTGGCTACGCCACCGTGTCCAAATATCAGAAATACGAATGTTTACCGCTTGCCTAATTGCCTACTCCTGAGTGGCATTGTGATGTCCACGCACCTCTCCGCCGCCATGAGGACCAGCAGCCAGTTGGCCAGCTGGCCCGTGAACGCCCCCAAGTACTGCAGCACGCAGCAGCCGGCGTCGCCGAGGTTCACGTTGTGGCGCGTCAGGCTGATGAACACAAGCTTGCACGCCAGACACGTGTTGTCGGTGCACGCCAGTGCGGCGACGTAGCGCGTGAAGCGGATCCGAGGCTTCGCGGTGGCTATGGTGGCGAAGGCGAAGACGTTTCCGGGAAATCCCAAGGCGAAGATGATCCACAAGTAAACGTTATTGACGACGAGGCCGACGTCGTAGATGGGGTAGTCCGAGGTGGACGCGCGGGGCGATGGCCCGTTGGGGGGTGATGGCCCGTTGGGGGGCGATGGCCCGTTGGGGGGCAATGCATTGTACGTCAGCATCGCTGGTCTTACTCAAAGGGTGGTCACGATAGATCTCTGGGTAGTCGCAGCCGGCCTGGATGAAGAGGATACATTAAGATAGATCAGGAGTGAAAACAACAACAAACAACATACGAACCAAGCTAATTTCATCACATTGCATTTCAAGAGTGACAGAATCACAGAGAATAATGACAAGATGAAAAGGTGATAGCAAACAAAAATTGGCGTACAAAAAAAAGTGACAGGTAAAAAAAGTGACCAAAAAAAAAAAAAAAAAAAAAAAAAAAAAAAAAAAAAAAAAAAAAAAAAAAAAAAAAAAAAAAAAAAAAAAAAAAAAAAAAAAAAAAAAAAAAAAAAAAAAAAAAAAAAAAAAAAAAAAAAAAA